TCCCGTCGTCCTCCCCCATCTCCTCCGAAGTTCCAGCGAGCTGATGTCCCTCCCTGGCCTCCCCTCGGAGACAGGGGCCCCGGCTTCGGCCCCAGGCCTGGGACGGAGCGGTGGCTCGTACCAGTGCTGGTGCTGGGCGGGAGAGAGGAGGGGGAGGAATCGGGAATCGGGAATCGGATATATGACAACGTCAGGACTGCAGCAATGACAATAATGACATGCAGCATGCAATGCGACGACGGGGCCTACCCTCCAGACGCACTTCCGCGTCGGGTGGCCTTCTCCGCCTTGCTCAGACTCTTTGGCCAGAGCCCACGAGAGATCCTGGTTAGATACTCAAGCCTGTTGGCGGTGGGGCGCTGACAAGGGCGGCCAAGTCCGTCCAACAACTGATGCCCATAGCACCCACACCTGCCACAGTACCACAATTTCAAGACACTATGCCACTGCATCTGATGAGAGGAGTCAACAAAGCCCCCAGCTATATGCAACTGGGCGAGGGGGGGCTTGTTGACAATCACTCCTTTATAGTTCAGGGGTTCGAAACAAGGTGTCTGGCGCTAGAGAGCGGTTCTCACCTTGGTGGCAGAACCCCCACAACGAGTGCACCTTCTCCCTGTCTCATCAAGGCAGTGGTCAGTGGAGAAGAGGGAGAGCGAGGCAGCAAAGGGGGGAGCAGGCGGGGGAGGGGCGGATTTTTTTCGACGAGGCTCAATTTTGTTTTCATCCTCGGCGTTGCAGGCATCTAACGTTGCCCGCAGAATACGCATGCGTACGAGCCGAGCCCTCTGCTCGTGCAAAAGAACAGATGAGCGTACGTCCTGAGAAGTCCGCGCCTCGCTCGCTGCAAGGCCTGCAACTTCGTCCACCGCAGCGTTACACGTGACTTTCCACCTCGGCGCGACCCCTCTCACGATGTCTTGGGCAGTGAGATTGGAATGTGTGAAATCAACCGTGACCGTGGCAGCACCACCCTCTCGAGCTCTGAGAAGTTGGCCTAGCTGCGCCCACAAATCACCGTCTTCGCCCTGAGGCTGGTTGAAGCGGCCCGCGAACCACCCCTTGACCACAGGTTCGCAGTCAGAAATGAAAAGAATGAACCCTCGGGTGAGCCAAACTGCAAGCACCAGCGCGCGGAGCTCGCCCCTCGCCACAACTTGGCGAGGGCCGCACAGTGGGCCTCTCACCGTGCTCAAGAGCTCCACACACGGCTCGAGAGTGGCAAAGAGAGCGACGGCTACGCCGACGCGGCGAAACAAGTTGTTGCCGTTGTCAGCTCCTCCACTGGCATCACCACTGATGAGAAGAGGGTTGCTGATGGTGCCCTCGCCCCAGCTGCCTTCGGCGGGTGGCTCTCGGGCAACAAAATCAGGCATGTCATTCCCAACCATCCTGTGGTGTTGGGTCCTCGTTTTGAAGAGACAGCGCCCCGCGTCCACTCCTCCCGCTGCCCCTCCCCCTCCTCCTTGCGTTTCACCCACCCAGCACAGCGTTTCGTAGCCCCATAGGGAGCTCCACCGAAGGCCCCGGTGGCAGGGTTCGCATGGCGGCCTCGGGCCATCTCGGCACACCCCTCACGAGGATCGTGGCCCCATAGGGAGCTCCACCGAAGGCTCCAGTGGCAGGGTTCGCATGGCGGCCTCGGGCCATTTCGGCACACCCCTCACGAGGATCGTGGCCCCATAGGGAGCTCCACCGAAGGCGCCAGTGGCAGGGTTCGCATGGCGGCCTCGGGCCATTTCGGCACACCCCTCACGACGATCGTAGACCCATAAGGGAGCTCCACCGAAGGCGCCACTCGCAGGGTTCGCATGGCGGCCTCGGGCCATTTCGGCACACCCCTCACGAGGATCGTGGCCCCATAGGGAGCTCCACCGAAGGCGCCAGTGAGAGGGTTTGCATGGCGGCCTCGGGCCATTTCGGCACACCCCTCACGACGATCGTGGACCCATAAAGGGAGCTCCACCGAAGGCGCCAGTGGCAGGGTTCGCATGGCGGCCTCGGGTCATTTCGGCACACCCCTCACGAGGATCGTGGCCCCATAGGGAGCTCCACCGAAGGCCCTAGTGGCAGGGTTCGCATGGCGGCCTCGGGCCATTTCGGCACACCCCTCACGAGGATCGTGGCCCCATAGGGAGCTCCACCGACTGCCCCCAGTGGCAGGGTTCGCATGGCGGCCTCGGGCCATTTCGGCACACCCCTCACGAGGATCGTGGCCCCATAGGGAGCTCCACCGAAGGCGCCAGTGGCAGGGTTCGCATGGCGGCCTCGGGCCATTTCGGCACACCCCTCACGAGGATCGTGGCCCCATAGGGAGCTCCACTGAAGGCGCCAGTGGCAGGGTTCGCATGGCGGCCTCGGGCCATTTCGGCACACCCCTCACGAGGATCGTGGCCCCATAGGGAGCTCCACCGAAGGCGCCAGTGGCAGGGTTCGCATGGCGGCCTCGGGCCATTTCGGCACACCCCTCACGAGGATCGTGGCCCCATAGGGAGCTCCA